ACATTTATACATAGGTGCCCCAGCACACACGTATACACACATAAAAAAAGCTTGTCTATTTTATTTCCTCTGGTATCCGTGGCTTGGGTTTTTTATTAAGCAATATTCATTGGTTATCTGTTATGAGTTGATCACTGTGTGGACAGAATCCCCAGTATTAAGCTAAGAGAGGCAGAATGAGGAGAGAAAAAAAAAGACAAGATAGAAAATAACACAAGAAAAGGATGCTATGGTTATTCATGTTCACTTCCTAGTCTGTCATTTTTGGTCTACACACCTGGAGTGAACCATTAATCTTTGTTTATGTTACCCTCTCTAAATTTGAAGGTCAGTTAAACTTCAGAGTTTTTGGCGGCCCTCCAGAAATGGTGTAACTGAATGCCAGTTATGGTACATATTTTATTCCACACATTGCTGAAACTGCTAGTATCCAAGGATTTGGGTATCTCTAATTTTTTAAATTCTTCTCTCTCTCTCTCTTTCTCTCTCTCTCTCTTTCTCTCTCTCTCTCTTTCTCTCTCTCTCTTTCTCTCTCTCTCTCTCTCTCTCTCTCTCTCTCTCTCTCTCTCTCTCTCTCTCTCTCTCTCTCTCTCTCTCTCTCTCTCTCTCTCTCTCCCTCTCTCTCTTTCTCTCTGAGTCAGAGGACAACTTGTGGGAGTCAGTTCTTTCCTTCCACTACATAGGTCCTAGAGCTCCAACTCAGGTTATCAGGCCTGTTGGTAAGTGCCTCTGCCTTTACTCACTGAGTCATCTCCCTGGCCAGGATTTAGATATCTTATTCAACAGGCAACAACAGTAAATAACTTTGATAACATTCTCTTTAGATGCTGAGCTCTTGGTAACGTTTTCTGTTCCCAAAGGAAAAAGACAAAAGAACTTGCTGTCCAGTAAGTTTGTTTGCTTTAAATTTTTGGTATCACAGCAGGAATGCAAAAATCCTAAAATTTGAGAGAGGAGTTGTATACATGAGTGGTTTCTTTCGATATCATTTTTGACACCAAAATTTTAAAGCATTTTCAACAGTGGAATCAAAGCCCACCCTCACTTGCTTTTACCTTTGTCCATTTCACTGCACTGACATAATCCGACGTGCAAATTTAGTCAAATACGGCTAATCTCCTAGACACCTTAGCAGTGGACCATGTAATTCAGTGCCACTGTAGAGAACTTTCAGTTCAGTCTCTCAGATGTGTCTAGAAGAATGATGAAAACATCTTCCCCCTGTGAGGCAGAAGCAAGATGGAAGAATCTAACAGGACTTTCTGCCCTCCATGCTGAAACCTTGCTGAGCCTTCAACACTTTATGCCTAGAATGGTAGTTTTCAATCTAGGGCAGTTGTGACTCTCAGAGGATGAATGTAATGTCTGGAGATGGTTTGATTGTTGTGGAAGACAGATAAATGTAGGTAGAAGCCAGAGATGTGGGTAAGTATCCCAAACTGCATGGGGCACTCTACCACAAGGAGTTAGTTGAACCAAAATGTCAGTAGTGATATTGCTTACTATTTGCATGTGTCTCCCAATGGCCCGTGTGTGGAAGGCTGGGCTGCCAGTTTGTGGTGATATTAGAAGGTATTAAGAAGTAGAATCTAGGAACCTGAGGTTAGACAGATCACAGACATAGGGGAGAGCCCAATACTATTATTCTGCTAAATAGATAAAGTATTAAATTGACTCCTAATGACTTACTGTTATATCCATAAATTATGCATCTCTCCAATCTCAGCAGTGAAGATTCCTTATGTATCAAATGGTGATTAGGGGCTGGAGAGATGACTTAGTTGTTAAGAACATTGACTATTCTTGCAGAAGACCTGGGTTCGAATTTCAGTAACCACATGGCTAACAACCATCTGTAACTCCAGTTCCTGGGGATCCAATGCCCTCGTCTGTCTTCCATGGGCACTGCTCAGCACAGGTGCACTTACATACACGGAGGCAATACACTCATACACATAAAATAAAAATAAATTTTAAAAAAGTGAAAAACAGCCGGATGCGGTGGTGCACGCCTTTAATCCCAGCACTTGGGAGGCAAAGGCAGGTGGATCTCTGTGAGTTCAAGGCCAGTCTGGTCTACATAGTGAGTTCCAGGACAGCTGGGGCTACAGGGAGACCCTATCTCAAAAAAAAAAAATCAGAAAAGAAAAAAAAAGTAAAAAACAGATGGTGATTAACACAGAGAACCACAACTGGTAAATGTGCGTAGAATAAGAGGCTGCAGAGTGCTTAGGACACCTGTATCAAGCTTCTGCCTCCCAGGGCTCAGGGACCATTGTGGAAGAGGGGTGGAAAGATTGCAAGAGTCAGAGATGGTGCATGACCACAAGGAAACAAAATTTTCCAGAGAGCTGGTCAGTTACTCACATGAACTCATAGCAGTGGTGACAGCATGCACAAGACTCACCTAAGATCAAGCCAGACAAAATCCCAGCATAGACATAAGAAGAAACCCCAACTGTACTTGAGGAAGTATTGGTAATTCATGACTGCTGAAACCCTTGGCAGGTTGACCAGGCACCAGTAGATGAACACACACCAAAGAGCATTTGGGACACAAATTTAACTCTATAGGCTCATATACATAAACACACACACACACACACACACACACACACACACACACACACGAGCACATCAGGTTGGTGGAGGTATGAAGGGGGTGTGCAGATAAGGGAAGGGATCTACATATACACACACACACACACACACACACACACACACACACGAGCACATCAGATTGGTGGAGGTATGAAGGGGGTGTGCGGATAAGGGAAGGGATCTACATATGATTGCATATATTATATGAAATTGGCAAAAATTCAGTAAAAACAATGAGTAAAAAATACAAAGAATTTCAAAAACAAAGAATAGACTCTAGTGGGAAGAAGTTAGTCAATGGGGGCAAGCCCTTGACAGGAGTATTGAGGCCCTCCCCTCTTCCTCTCTCTTTCTGCTTACTAGCTATTGTCAGGTGAGCAGCTACTCCACCATGATGTACTGCTTTACTGCAGGCCCCAAAGCAAGGCAGCTAACTTGAACTATGATCTTAAAAGTACAGCTTTCAAGTGAAATAAACGAAACACAAAGGGATAAGTATTGCATGGCTGGCTCTGGTTTTACAAAGTACCTAGAATTGGCAAGTTCCTAGAGACAGAACGTTATTAACAGGAATGAGGTCAGGAGATATCACAGTTATTACTGATGGGTACAGAGTTTCAGTGGGATAATTAAAATGTTCTAGAGATGAATGGTAGTGAGGGCCACACAGCAGCATGAATGTCCTTATGCCACTGAAGCGATACTTAAAAAGAGATGCTTGGTATGCTGGGGCTGGAGAGATGGCTCAGCGGTTAAGAGCACTGACTGCTCTTGCAGAGGACCCGGGTTTGATTCCCAGCACCCACATGTCGGCTACGAACCATCCTTAACTCCAGTTCCAGGGGAATCTGAAGCCCTCTTCTGACCTCCACAGCATTGCATGACACGGGTGCACTCACATACATGCAGGCAAATATAGTCATACACATAAAATAAAAATAAATAAAATTTAAAAAGATGCTTGGTATGTTGTTTCATTTACTTTATTTCAGTAACAATTTTAAAAGTAATGACAAGATGATTTAACATTATGCTTATACTTAAAATAATAAGCATATTAACAGTTAATAAGAATAGTTTTATTTACTGAATAGTTTCTATATAACAAGCCAATTATTTTAGCTAGCTTAATTAATTCAGTCCTTGCAATAATTAACTTAATGCCTGCATTAACCAATTTAAGGATTCAAAGTCCTACCATTACATTCACCCAAGTTTATTTAGCTAAGAGGTAACCAAACTGAGATTAAGACATAGGCATAGTTTCAATATTTTAATCACTAAGTTTACTCTCTCAGTTGGCCTCTGCGTTCTGACAGCCATTGCACGTTCAATCTCTAGTCCATACTGTAAAACAGTGGCGATTGCGATGCTGCCTGTGCTTTGTGAACACTACTTTGGGCCTCTTGAAAAAGCTGTGAAAGAGTGCTCACTACCTTGATTTAGAGATGAAAACTCAGAAACACGAGGAGTCGAAATGACTTGTTCACGCTCACCTAAATGCAGCAGAACCAGGATATGAGCCTCATTTAAAGTCATAGTCTTACTATGACACCCATTTTGAATATCTCAGAAGCATCCTATTCTAAGATAACCTTATTTTTATATTTTAACGTTTCTGAATTAAAAATTCATCTTTACCAATATAGTAGTCTCCTTAAACCCAATATTAAATTGCTTGATATCATCTGTAGAGCTCAGGAAATGGAGGATTTATCAGTCTGGCTCTAGGACTTATAGTGTAGATGTTTGGTATTACATGTTTGTTGAAATAGTGTCTGCCAAAAGAATACCAAAAACTAGCCCTTAGGGTTCTCATTTAGGCGCAGGAGGAAAGAACTGGATGAGAAGAACAATTTTGTTCAGCAGAGAATCCTTTAACAGCCTCCAATGAGGTGCATCTGAAGCTAGGAATCTGGTTATCCTATCATAATACTATATGCATATCCTATTACACACATATTAATACCTATTAAATGCATAGAGTATGCATATAAGAGATGACTATATAATTTTCGGGAATTTAAATCTTTCTGTGGATATTTCAGTTACCCTTCACGTGCATTGTTCCTGTGGCCCAAGCTTTTCTTCCTTCTCAGGGTCATACATCTCTTTGCCCATTGCTGAGACCGGAGTCCTTCTGGGTCCTGGGTCTCTGCATGAGCATCGATGACTTCTCTTCACTCACATTGTTCTCTCTTTACCAGTCTCACAATTGCCTTCAGAGATTTCAGGAAATGGGACTGGAAGACTTGCAGCCAAAGAACAGTTTCCAGGACCTAAGTCTTTGGCCAATGTAGATCTGAAGAAGTGTCTTACAATGCAGACTGCACCAGTGAACCAAATTTGTTCTGTTCTATGACTTCCAAACAATTTTGGCTCCTTAAGAATCATAAAGAAGGGGTCATTTTCCTCCTTCAAAACAAGCTTTTCTTAAAAGCAAGTGTTCTTGATGTCACCAGTAGATACAATAAATAACCTGAAATGTAAGAAAGGAAATAAGAAAAAGGTTTACCATAATGCTTCCCCTCTCTTTCCCTCCCCCTGACTCTCTTGCTCTCTCACTCTCTCTTATTCTCTTTGTATCTCTCCCTGAACCCACAACTAGATCTTGGAAATTTTTCTTAGGGTAAGAATTGCACATTACTTAACAACTGCCGTGTGGTAGCAAAGAAATTCACTTCCCAAGGACAAGGTTTTGGAGCTGGGGATCAAATCCAGGTCCGTGCCTGTGCTAGGCAAGTGCTCTGTCATTGAACCATATCCCTAGTCTCCCACCAAAAAAATTTGTTGAGAAAATATAAGTAGCATAAGCAAAGTTTTGTGGCTATCTTAACGTACTCTTAAAAGTTTTCACATCATTTCTGATAACACAAATCCAAAGTGCAGCTGAAATTTCAAGGTTGACCTGACTGATCTTATAATATACAGAAGAGGACTATGAGCCTGCAGTTGTAGAGTCTTGAATTACTCTCACCATCTAATATTCATGCTATAAAAACTCTGCAAAATGCTATTTCCTAAATAAATGTCAAGAGTCTAGATGGCATTTGGTGAATGGTTCCAAGAGGAGTGCAAACAGTGTTTCCTTAATTAAAAATGAAAACGATACCTAATTAACTGTCATCATGCAAGGAAAATGTGGATGAGAAAGAAAGCGTCAACATGAAACCATATGGAAAAATGGGATGCAGATCCTGAGATGAGCCCACATGCAAAGCTGGGAGAAACTTCCTTAATTCTGTAGAACCAGGCTCAAATAATGCCACATGCTAAAATATTATCCCAAACCTTAGTCCACAAAGGAAAGGCCTTTAGCATCCATCCATCCCTAGTGAGACAAGGTCTCACTATGTAGACCAGGTTGGCCTGGGATCATGATCCTCCTACCTCCCGTTGGTGGATATGTAAGACCATGCCTAGCTTTAGCATCCCTTTAAAGCAAAGGAAACTGCTTTAAATGTGACAGGGAGCCTATGCTGCTGTATTAAAATGATGGTAGCAAACCATGCTGGGCCACAAGCTCTTTGCCTAACACCTTTTCACCAGATCAAGTTTGTGTAGCACATGCTGAGTCTTTTCTTTCCCAGAATTGATATTTTTCATCTTCCCTAGGGCATGAATCCATGTCAGAAGAAAACTTGGGACACTGCAGAAGTCCTTTAGAGGACATTGTGTTTGTTGTCATTTTGAACCATAACTGTTGTTATTCCACATTACAAGTTGGGAGGGTATGCAGTACCACAATCTTTCCAGTATTTCAAACCTCTCAAGCTTTAGCCCTGGTCATTGGGTGTCTACTGCCATTGCTTCTGCCATCAGGCAATTCTGTAGTGAAGAGAGAAAGGGCACACAGCTTTACATGGGACCGTGTAACCATCCTGGTCCTGGCAGAAATGAAGATATTCTAGAGATGCTTTGCCGTTGTCTTTGGCTATCAGGCTATTGAAACGATGGTCCCCAAGCCACTGGAATTTCCCTAGGACTCTCATGCTGAGAAGGGAAAAAGGCTGAAGCCTAGTGCCAATCAGCAGAGAAACTTGTTTCCTGGAAAGAGATTTCACAGAGTTCTGACAACTTGTCAGACCTTGCAAGGCAGATTGGAACTGAGACATTGAGGTACTAAGGGACAGGACCACACCAAATCTACTCTGAGCCACATGAGTGGAACACCACCTACCCATCCCAAGTATACCACCAGCAGCAGATCCTGTTTGTCATCTGAACTGTGTGTCTCATTCCATATCATCACTCCCCAGGATATTTCTCCTCAGGTTGAAAATACACATCCCACTTCCAGGCATCTGCTTCACGTTTCCTGGATGGCCTAGTAATGTGTTTGTTTAACTCACTTTGAGTTAGGCTATAGATTTTGCCAGTGGCCTTTTGAACACCGGCCTCAGGATGTTTGTTTTTGTAAGTTTTTGCCTTATCTAACTTCCTCTGAAAGAGCCTCACTTTTCACAGCTTGGCTGAAGCTTGGCCAAGCAGCTCTCTGCTAGATAACTTGCCCAACTGTGAGGCTAAATGATCTGCAGTTTGAAAATCATAAGCACTTTGCATTACAGTGTTTCATTAGAAGGTGAGAGGAACAGCCCATCAGATGGGACTGGGGCGCAGCAAACTGCACTTCAGCAATCGGTTTCAGCCCACCACTTTGTCTCTCAAACCAGTGCACAGAAGTAGGATGAAGTTCAGTGATTCGCACATACATGGGATGCACCTGGGGAACTTGTTAAAATTTAAATTCCCAGAGCACGTCCTCTGAGATTCTAGCTCAAAACAGCTAGAGCAGGCCTGGGGCAATTATTATTTCACTCCTCCTCCTGGGACACTGTTTTTAACCAAACACCCCCGACACCTATCGTCTTCATTAAATGTTTTGTAGATCTGAAGAGGAGAAACATCAGTGAAGTGGTGAGAAATCTGTCATTTGAACACCCTGTCTGGCTTTGAGTCCTACCTTAGATGACCACCCATCTAAATGACCTGAATCCACAGTCTTCAAATATGGGCTATAGGACAGGACAGGTGTTGTAAGGATCCAGTGGTCTTGGCTCAACATGTTCAATGAATATCGGTTCTCATCTTAAAACTGTCTTCAAATAAACATCCCAAGAGAAATGAAAATAGTTCTTGTATGTGGAAGACACTGGCTTAGAAAATAAAGCCTACAGATCTACGGACCAGTAAAAAACAAAGAAAATGCCTTCCTCTGTCATTTCTGATGGTCTATGGCTCACGTTCCTTCTTGGCTTGGTGCTGTTTTGAGCATCCTTCAACTGTGTCAAATCAATTTCTTTGGGGGTGGAGTTGGGGCTTTCCTGACACCTAGATTAAATCCGCAACAGTGGTTAATTCCTCTCCATGTGTTCCTTAAGTCTTACTGCTAATTTCTAATTTGATGTCTGCCTTCCCGGTAGAGACTGAATTCCATTAAGGGATGGGATCTTGCTGCCTACATCTATCCTTGTTCCCAGGATTCATAGCACGTGCCTGGTACATACCCCTTGAGGATAAAAGTTCTTTGAGGAAGAACTTTTAAAAAATCACCAGTGCTGTTCATGTTTTGAAATGGAAAGTCTAGAGACAGTGATGTGTTCCCACAGTAGGTTCATATGGAATATTCAAACGGACCACTTGAATATTCTTGCAATGAACTCTGACTCTCAAATCCCCCTGGCACCACAGCTGAATAGTTTTCTGAAGCATCTTAAGGAAATCTTGGACCATTTATTAAATAAGGGCAGAACCATCATGAAGAGCTCCGTTTGCCAATTGCAGAGTTAGAGAAATCACACAGGGGAACACCAGATGACAACATTAGTTTCCATTAGGTCTTCATGAAACACTGGAAGGTGCTACTTAAACGATGCACGTCTATAGCCCACAGGACCTCAGGGGTGGAAGGGAGAAGTAGCGGGGCACAGACGAAGTTACTTCACTTGCCAATCTTCTCACAGCGTTGCTGTGTTTAAATTATTTCCCCCTTCTTCACACGGAGACTTTTAGCTTGGCATTAATATTCCCACAAAGGAAAGGTGATTCACTGGGTGAATGAATTGAGCATTATACCAAACCTGCTCTGAAATGTTGAGAAAGAACAAAAATCATACATTATTTCAAATCTGGAAAAGCTGAGTTGATTTTTTTCCCCATGGTCTTTCATTTTCTGGGTCTGGCCCCAGACAGAAAACCACGTTTACATCCTTCTAAACGTGTTTCTTGAGAGGAAAGATACTTTCCAAGTAGAAACAAAATAAATGTGAAGTTCTGTTTCTTTTGGCATGGCCTCTTAATTTGAGTTTTGCTCATATGGTTGGAGTTTATATTGCTATGATATAAAAGATTATCTGGACACCTAAAAAAAGTAAAGAAGGCTACATAATTCTTTACCCTATGTTTTTAATCAACTTAGTCCTTACTGTAATTCCATCCACAGGACATTCTTTGGCTGATTGTTTCTAATTCATTATTTGTAAAGAAAATCAGTAGAAATACCATTAAAAAAATTCCAGGTTAAGAAGCCTGTGAATTTACATGTAAGTTATACCTTTATTCTTTGTTTATTTTGCAAAGTCATGGAGATCCCATTTTTTAAGGTTTCTGCACATTTTTCTGGTTATTTCTTTGAACTTATTTGTTTTCTTTCTTCCAGTAAAGAAAACCCATGAAAAGGATGAAAAATTTTATTCTCTGGCCAAATGCTAACAGCTCCAACCAAGGACAGATTATCCCTGAGTTCTGTGAGGCTTTTCCACAGAGGCTTGGAACTCAGCCAGATTGATTAAATCCCCTCACACTCTTTTTTCCTTCAACTTTATCAGACTTGACACTCGCCACAAGTAAAAGGAAAGGCCAGTGTGGGCCCACTAAACCGGGCGATGGGAAAGGGTAGAATGTTACACGGAGACAAATTCCTTCTGCATCACATCTTGAAAGTCCCTGAGCAAGAACATTCTACCCTGCAATGCGTGTAGAGCAGCAAGAGGCTTGTTTTACTGTAGCTATTTCTGAGGCACTTTCCTCAGATGATGGTGGGAAGTCTAGTGGTTTTGTCAATAGCCTCATGTTCCTTTTTCCTTTATGGGAGGCACAATGTACACTAATGTGCTCTGAAATACTGTATAATTTATTTAAATTAGCTTTTCCCAAATTTATTGGCTCCTATTGAACAGCCTACTTATTTTACAGCATATCTATTAGCAATTAGGATCTCAACTCACCAGCCCCTCCCTCACCTAGCCCTTCTTTTCTTTAGTCTTTGTTTATTGTGAAGATGAACTGTAGTAGTCCCCAAATTTCCAATGTTTTACAAGTCACAACACACATAGAACAGTGTAATCAAAATGGGAACAGTTGCTTGTTTCCCATATACATACTAGTTACCTAGTATAGTTTTTCTACTTAATGTTTTTTATTGTTTTACTTTTTCATACTGTCCGAATTCTATAAATTTGTGGTGTGCTTGCTGTTGAA